AAAAACAAACGGACACACAAAAATTTAGTACCACCTCAGATAGAAAAATTAATTGCGACGATGAACGGATGAAAAAAATCAGAAAAACGCACCTTGCTTTATTAGTACGTATAGATTTAGAGGTGGGGTCTACCTGTCATTGGGTCACTTTATTTTAACAGATGGATTTAATTAGTTTTAGCAGTGGTGAGTCCCGGTAGTCAGTAGCAGATTAATGGGGAAGGGGGCTTGGCCCCCTAATTAAATTGGGCTGGCCCCCACTAGGCAGTGGCCTAGTCGGCAGGGGCCGCACGCGCTCGCAGGCAGTAGCCTAGGCGTGGCGGGAGCGGCAGGCCATGGCGGCCCGCTGTGATGGTCGCGGCTTCGGCCAGTGGTAGGGGCAGTGGCGGCCAGAGGAGGGTGCGGCCATGAGAGTCGGGGGTGCGCGCGCTGACGGGGTGAGGTAGAAGTCGCGGCAGGGGGTAGCAGGTAGCAGCAAAAGGCAACAGCGGGAGCAGCGAAGCAGCAACGCGGTAGAAGCAGAGCAGCGCAACGGCGAGCGGAGGGTGGGGTGACCCGGGCCTACGCGAGCGGAGGGGCGAGCGGGGCGCGCGGGACAAAGGCGGGGTCGGCGGCTGCAGCAAAAGTGGGTTACAACAGGTGAGGCCACGCGTGGCGCGCGTGCGTCGGCCACGACATGGGACAAGGGCAGGAGCGCGTGAGGAGGCAAGGCGGTGCGCGCCCATCGAGAGGGCGAGCGCGCGCATGGCGTGACTTGTGGAGCTCGGCCACGATGACCTACGGCTAGGGGAGGAAGGGGGACGGATGGGGCGGAGGAGGAGGATCGACGAGGGCTCACAACGGAGCACAGGGGTGAACGCGCGAGGTTGGAGGGGTGCGGGGGCGGCCGGAGGCAAGTGACGATGGCGGGGCAGCGGCGACCACCTCCTCGGGCGCTCAGACAGCGGCGGATTCGGGATGCGAGTGAGAGAGTTGTGAGATGGAGCGGGTGCAGGGGAAAGAATGGAGGGGGCTAGGGTTCCACCGCAGGCGTCGGGGGACCTAGTATCCGTCGGGGAGGCGGGGATGGCCACCACGCATGGCTAGCGATGGCGGATGGCCGCCACCTCCCCTGCCTCCCTGTAGCGAGGTGGGGGGGCAGCGAGGTGGGCCGGCCTGGTAGGTCTAGTGGGCTAAGGCCGAGGGGGCAGGAGTTTTCTTTCTCCTTTTTATGTTTATGTTCTTTTCTCTTTTTTTTCTTTTATTCCTTAACTATTTTATTTTGTTACTAGTAGCAAATGCCTTTTTATAAAATATGGGACTTGACCCATAATTCTTATTGCACTCTTATGCAATGCCACAAGGGGTTTGGGATTTATTTAAAATGGTTTGGAATGTTTTATAAACTAGAAAAGTATATAATTTATCGTTTTGTTAATGTTTTAAATGGCTAGAGCTCAAAAGAGCAAATAGGTAAGGTTGTCTAACATTACCAATATTTGTTTTGGAATATTTACAAAATGATGAACTATATTCCAACGTTATTTGTAAATTCAAATTTAAATTCTCACTTTAAATTTGAATTGATTTTCAACTAAGAGGCGGTTATGCTTAATCAAAAGTGGTGACATGGCACATTAAGGTGAGGTTATTGTAGTCTAACACTGTGGGTGTTACACTAGGGATTTTCAAAGCTAAAAACTGGATCAGTTTTTTTTATTCAAAAATCTTTAAAACAACACATACACTTTTTTGCAAAAAGATCTAGATCTTATTACATAGGTTCACCAAAAATACAAAATCATCCCAAACATAATAAAAATTACATCGATGTACATGGACCACTAAACAACCAATGCTGCCTTCAAAATGAGGCATCGATGTCTCGTTGTTGCCCTTGCATACTGGAGCCAGCCTGAGGGCATCTATGACCGAACTTAGTAAATTTGGCCCCTAAAAGTCGTACACGTCCGGCCGGTCACCCCTCAAACGCACGTGCACACATCCATGTACTTCATATTCGACCCCCGCCCCCCAATCCATGCAACGTGAGAGGAAGTACGTAGTTCAACATATCAAATATAGCAACAAATGGACACATATCAACATAATTCCATAAGGGCATAGCATCACAACTTGCCGATCATAAGAGACTATTCATCAAACCAAACAGACGTAGATTCATACTAAAGATAACTAAATACTAAACGGAGATGGACAGGGGCGTCGAAAAAATCACCATTTCCTCGCTGGTCCCTGCCCTTGCGGTCACCAGAGCGGTTGTAGCCCTCTGCATAGGCATCGGCGGCGGGAGGGGTGTCGTCGGAGTTGTGGTTGTGACGCTCTCGGGTGAGGAGGAGACCATGTCGGCCAATCGAGGGATGACGCGTGCCTGCTTCTTCGCGAGCCGGCCTTTGCGTCGCGGCCGCCCTCTTCGGTGACTGGCCAGGTCAAAAAAAAGAAGCCTGCCGGTAGATGCTCTCACCTGGTGGATGACAAGCGGAAAGGCTTCATGCACATGTCCCATGAACCACATTGGAACCGGAATTGGTCAGAGGTTTGTAAGTATCATGATAAGACAACTTAATATATGAGCTGAATGTTTCAAATCCACGAATTTGTTTTTCATCGACATCACCACAACTGAACGAGGCAGAGGGGAGTGAGGCAGAGGAGGGTGAGGCGGAGGGGAGCCAGAGGAGAGGATGAGAACGACACTGTTTCCCTTTAGGGAACGGCCCGACTGGCGTGGTCCCATACGGTCGTTAGCGCGGCGCCGTCACCGCTGTCGGCCAACGCGTGATTGGCCACATCAAAATGGGCTCATTTTTCAGTTCAGTATTTTTTGCCACCATCAAAATTTCGTTGCGGTGTAAAGTGTTGCGTTTTCTAAAGTTGTGGTTTTGTAAGAGACGTGACGTGAAAGCAGTGGTTCTGTGCATTTTACTCAGATACAAGGAGTGCCGGTTAACCTAGACGTATATGGGGTGTTTGAGGAGGTCGATTGCGTCGGAAAAAAACTGACCGGTCACTGGCCAGATCGTCTGCCCGGTCAAAATAAGGAGTCTGCAAGTAGATGCTCTAACCTTGTTGATGACCGCCAGAAAGACTTCATGCACATGTCCCATGAACCGCCCAGAGGCTCAATTGAACCCTTGAATTGATCCAATGTGCGTAAGTATCATGATAAGATAACTTTTTTTCGAAAGTACGCCAATGACGTACCATATTTTTATAAAAGAGAATAAATATTTACAAGATGCTAAACATGGATGCGAACATCCCATTAGCTACACCAACACCAAAACAACACATGTAGACTACTCTCTCACAAAATACTGTAAACGTCCGACTCCCACGGTGTGCCAATCTCGTATCTCCTCCATGATCTGTGAAGTCAATTGTTGTATGCTCCTCTGCTGGTCCGTGCGCCCGAACACTCGAGCATTCCTTTGTTTCCATATGGACCAAGCCACAAGATCAAACAGTCTAAGCCTCTCTTTTGCCTTGTAGGGATAACCTTGCGTGCCTCAAGCCACCAGGATGTAAATGTGTATGGTTGATCTGGTTGTGGATGATAAGATAACTTAATATGTGAGCTGAATGTTTCAAATCCAAGAATCTGTTTTTCCTCGATATCACCACAACAGGACACCCGTAACATGCAAGCTGACCGCGCCGGCCGGAGGACTCGCTCTCAACTCCTGCATCAACCCTATCCCGACCAACCAATTCGCTATCTTATCGGCTGCCAACAAACCCAAAAACGAAGGCCACGTCGCCGGCCGGCCGGCAGCGGCTGACGGCGCAGGAGAAAACGACGGGGGCGCCCGGCGCTGGCTGACACCCCAGGTGCCCCGTCTTTGCCGGATTTATATACCCCCGGCGTCCCACCCACTGCACCAGCCCGGCCGCGGCAGCTGGCCGCGCCGCTGTGGACACACTTGTCCATTTCCCATCATTGCCACCCATCGCACATGCCCCTGCTTCGCCCATCGCCCCCTCCGTATTCCAGCTTATCCCATCATCATCACTTCCCTCGCCGTTGCCCCGTTCCGGTTTCCAACCCGGAGCACTGCCGCGTGGGAGCGTACGCACGCGCTCACTGACACGGGGCCCGGTGTGCTGAGTGTCGACTATGGCCCAGGTGCCAGTGCCTCCTTTGCGATTGCGTACTGCATTGACTGTGTGCTGGCCGGAGCGCTTTTGGCTCGAGTAGTAGTTAACCGTGGCAGTTAGTACGACCACCGCGATCTCCGAGGGAGGAGGAACGGACGAGTGTGCTGATTGATTGCCGGTTTCACGTCACACGCAACGACGGGTCATTAAGATACTAGCACTCCAAGGTGGATAAATTTGCTAGTACTAGTATTTCTTCATAGTAATCGGGATGTTAGAATTGCACAAGTCAACAACAACACCGTCCATAAAAGAAAAAGAAAACGAACCGAGCTAGATTGACTACACTGCTTCGTGACTGATCCCTTTCACATCATGGTGAATGGGAACGAGATGCTGCGGCGAATCCATCACACTGGATGCCAGTGGTCAGGCGATAGAGGCGCTAGTACAGGGAATCACGACACGTTCCTGGCAAAGGGACTATTCAGTTCGGTTGGATTTGACAGAGTGAGGGAGTGAGGAGAAAAGACACTGACGCTGTATCACCCTAGATTCGAGGAATAATATGTACAGTAGAACCCAACGAAGATCAGGATCACACAAAAAACTTTTAACATATACACTACACATCATCCATTACCGTGAAAAATATGACAGTCGGCCGGACGCCGGAGGAGTACACGCAGGCAGCTCCCGCCGGCCGCCGATTGACTTTGGCCGCAGAGGACAAGAACGACGACAGGAACAGAGTGATGAGGTGACGAGTAGCAAACACAATGAATGACCACGTCTATCTATCTGCACACTAGCCGGCCGTCCGCCCGCCGGCCGGCCGATCACCTCTCAAAACTGCGATTTCTGGTTTGCGTCTCCACGATGAAATCATGGAATCCGTCCCATCATTGTTGCAACGCGGCGCCGTCTTCCACCACCGATCCGTCGCCCCTAATCTGCGGCGACAGAGAAGACCAATTCAAGAAGGTTGTTAGGAGGTTGCAACTGTACTACTACAAACGGGAGTATCGATGGGGAGGGGATATCATGGATGATGCGATGATGCTACCTGATGTGGTTGCAGGAGGATGAGCGGGGTGGGCACGCACGGCGGCGGCGCCTCGAAGAACGACAGCGGGAAGTGCTTGTAGACCACGCCCACATCGAAGTAGATGACGCCGGAGGAGGGCACGTCCACGCGGATGCTGCGCACGGCGAACCAGAGGAATAGGTCCTGAGCGTCCACCCCGGAGAGCTCGGCGATCCGGCCATAGCTGATCTGCCCCGCCACGGTGATGTTGTACCGCAGGCCGACCTCGGTGCGCGACGTGCAGGGGGACTCCAGGACCGCTTCGAACCGGCCGGTGGCCGGGTCGTGCGAGAACGCCGCGATCCCCGCAGGGAGCAGCCCGCGCGGAAGGCCGTGGGTCTGCAGCACGTCGTGCGCCGCCTCCGCCGCCGCCGTGGGCGCCGCCTCGCCGCACCCCGCCGCCGCCACAACCGCCGCCGCCGCCAGCAGCGCCCACCACGACGCCGCCATCGCCATTACCAATGGAGAGCCGCCGTGGAGGGGTGGAGGAAGGGAGATGGGGCCGGATGGGGAGGAGATGAGGGGCGGATGGGGAGACGCTTAGCAATAATTGAGGTAACCGAACAGCCGAGGGGAGGGGGAGGCCGAATGAAATAATCTACGGGGATGGACGCGGCCCGTCCGGCCGGGCCTACCTGCCAGCGTTTTAATTTATTAGGCCAAATTGGCCGCCCCTCCCCGCTTTCAATTAAGCCGCGCGATAACAGCGTGTCGCATCAGCTGGTGGACTCGCGATTTGGGGTGCGTGTTTCGCGGGCGCAGGCCGTTAATTCCTTCCGCCATCTCGCTGCCCAGCAAACTGCTTTTGAGTCGTTCTCGGCGCCACTACTGCTGCCTATCGTGTTTCAGCTGGTCTGATCGATGCCGTGCGGAGGATCCGGTCACGGTTTGCCCATGCGGAGGATACAGTATGTTGCAGGAATCTACAGGGAACTCCGTCGTGGCACAGGGAGCGTTCCGGAAATTCCGCGAGGAGCGGAAGTGTGATGTGATGGTCACGTGCAATGCTTGCGTTGCGTGCCAATCGGGACCTCGATCGGCATCTTTTGTTTCGGCCAATGATTAATCATTTTTTCACGTACTAAAGCCAAAAAATAAATCCGAAATAAACTGTTTCCAACATTGTTGATCAAACACAGCTTTCAAAAATAATTGACATCCCTTCTATAAAGTTGTGATGCACATTACTCTTAAGAAAAAGTCCGTTACCGATGTAAGATGGAAAATGTAACGTATGCAAGTTCGATTCTCCGACACTCTGTCGTCGACATGTGGCTGACAAAAACACATTTATATGTGCGGCGAGTTTGTCGTGATTCATCAGCATGCACACTAAACAGGATTATACAACTTTTCCTTTGTCTTTTTCTTTTCGAAAGAACGTTTTTACATATCATATTTTTATTGAAGGCAGAGAATTTTTCTTTCACAAGAAAAAACGTAAGCCAAACAAATTAGACTACGAGTTTACATCTACCCTCATTTACATGCTACTCTCTCATACAGATTTTTTTTGTCTTTTTAACGATACTTTTCCTCTGTCTTTGTTGGTCTTCCTCTACCACTACTTAGCTCCTCCTTTATTTGTCTCACTCGCTTGGTCTTTCAAATTCCCTTCCCCCTCCCCTCATCTTTCCCTAGTTGGCTAGTTCCACCTGCTCATGCCACCGCCAACTCTGCCTCCCACCTTCTTCATCTCCCTGTTTCTCTTTGTTGTACAACTTGCCGACGTACCTTCTCGCTCATCTTCCTTCTTTGGTTTTCCATAGACACCCCTTTTCGTGCAAAGAACGGTGATGGTGTCTCGGTCAAGCAATCACGCCGAGTTGATACGATTTGACGTTTTTATCACTTTGTGAGCCCCTACCCCTTGTTGGTTTATTCTTCCTCTTTCTTTGTGACGATAACGTACATACAATGAAATGTTAGATTTTCCATTCTACAATGGTCATCTGGAGACATGAGTATTTTCTTGGAGTTATTGTTCAATTGTCATCGAGAAATCAGTGTGCCTGGTTGTTTACATTCAAATGAGGATGGCGGAAGTTCAATTCTCCTCCCTATCGATGATGATGGTGTTATGTATTGGGGGTACCTCAGGCCACCATAAGTTGGCCCACCATGCCGAGTAGAGGCCTCCCATAGCGTAGTATGGCCTGGGTCTGCTCAAGGGCGGAGCCAGGCTAGCCCTAGGCCCCGGGCCTGCTTCACAGCTACAGTAATCTATAGTACAAAACAGTGCAAAAAATGCTACACTGAACAAAGACTTTTTGTGCCATGACCCGGGCCCAGGCCCCTCAAGCCTGGGGTGTAGCTCCGCCACTGGGTCTGCTACTTTGTTTGGGGCCTCCCTAAGAAGGAAGGATTGACTTGATGTCCATGGCAAGCCGAACTAGAGATCACGGAGGACTCTCAACCGTCGTAGCCGACTAGATTATGTGTAACCTTAGGCCTCTTTACCCCATATAATGTGAGGCTGGTCTAGCCGACAGGCATGATACATCATCATACTTTCACCCTTCGATACACTTGCTAGATCATCGAGATCATCCATGTACTTTGTACACCCCATTAGTCAATACAATCGGGCGAGAAGTAGGGTTTTACCTCCATTGCGGGTCGGAACCTTGGTAGATCTCGCCCATCCGCCGTCTTGGAAGTGTAACACATATCATGGGCCCTTCATCACTTTCCCCCTCCTATCCTTCGTGAAATATCTGGATGGATCTAGCATCTTCGCCCTTGTTTGAACCCCTCTTTCTTTTCTCTCTCTCACCCATGATGCCCAAGCACGTCCTCCCCCAATCTTTTTCCCAAATCCTGCATGGCCCAAGGTCCAGCCATGGCGCTGCAACCTCAGATCTCCTCCTCTACCATGGTGTAAGATCTGGATACGACCTTGCGCATAACGCTGCAACTACCTGCCGCTACAAGACCAGGGCACCGGTGCAGAGCTGCAAGGATGGGTGTGCTTGTTGTGCACTGGATTTTACAATAAGGGCCTTGTTGCAATTGCAACAAGGGCCATGTTACATCATCCTTCATGTAAAAATAACTCTGCAACATGATCCATGTTGCAAAAGTCCTCCTGCAACATCATCTATGTTGCAAAAAGATGAGGACGAAAACAAATTGCACGACGTGTTGACATGTGCTGCTGACTCCTTAGGACTCCCCTCAATTTTCTGCAACATCACCAATGTTGCAAAAATTTCTCCCATAGCATCAGCTATGTTTTCAAAAAAGTGAAAACGGAAAAAAATACTTTGCAAGAAACTTTTGTTGTAAAAAAATTATGCACCACAACCTCAGTTGCAAAAAAGTCCTACAACAGAAACCGTGTTTCAGAAAGAAAAATAACTGTTCGGAGGATTTGCAATCGGGCCTTCTACAACGCCACCCTTTTTTGCAAAGGGTGGCTTCTCACGTGGGTGGATCGGACGATCATTAGTGTGCCCTGCTCAGGAAGGCGACGAATCTTTTCTCATTATCCGTGGACCGACATGTAGCATCCCCCTAAAAACAATGCAAAATTTTGATATATTTTCTACAGAAACAAGTTGGCACCTTCTATTTCGGTACAGGTTTTCGTGAGAGAAAAAATAGCATAGTGTTTTTGTCTCGATTACAACATGGCCTTTTTTGACAAAGATTTGCGCGCAGTAGAAAACATGAACATATTATGATGGGAAAAATATTTTTCATTTGTAAATAACCATAAATAACGGCGTACTAAAAACTTTTGCAAACACATATGCATTCGTTATACACCCGCAGTTTGCACATAAATTGAACTGGATAGACTCAACTCCCTCCTCCCCAAAAGAATTAGGGTTTCTCCGCCTCCCGCTGCCACCGCCACCGGTCCACCTTGTTTCCCGTGGCTTTAGGGCCATGAGGACGCGGTGGATCTCGGCCCTTGCCGGCGGGAGGGCTCCGTTTTTAGATGTTTCTTCAAGTTTTGTTAGGGTTTGTGCCCTGCTCAGGAAGGCAAGACGACAACGGCTTCCTGAAGATGGAATAAAGTTCTCCCATCCTAGCCCCTGTTTCGGTGGTGCGTCCATCATTGGTGTGCATGTGGAGGTGTGTCTATGACGAATTTGTCTTTTGTGGATTTGCTCGGATCTGGTTGTCGTTTGTTTTCGTTCGTGTGTTTTCAGATTGGATCCTTCTGATGTACGGTACTCTTCATTGGCGGTGGTTGTTGTTCTGGTGTGTTAGTCATATGTGGTCTTAACACGACGACTTCCTGACTGTCTATTACAACAAGTTTTGGCTGACTCCGACAAGGGAGGGCGATGATGGTGGTGCGCCTTTTGGCTTGCTTCAGTGCTTGTAGTCATCCCTAGGTGGTCTACGAATTTAGATGTAATGCTTATTATTTTTGGTGTTCGTTGTACCGTCATGATTGAAGAAGAATATATAGGAAGTTTTCTTGCAAAAAATAAGAATACGTAGAAAGTTTTCTCCGAAAAAATGCATCTGTTAGAGCATCTACAACCGGACCTCTCAAACCCGCCTCATACAACCGAACGGGGCGCTCGGTCACGATTTTTTTGACCTAGACGGCCCCCTCAAATAGCCCTCAAACGCCCGAGCTGACCGGCACCCCCCATATCCAGCTCAAATATGGGGCGGATATGGGGGCGCCCGGGCACGCCCGCCACGTCGGCCTGATAGCGTGGCCTCACAAGGAAACGCTCAGAAACCCGGCGGTCCGAAGGACGCCGCGTCCGTCGCCACGGTGTGAACATCGCATGGCACCGCTCCAGCTCGTCGCCCAAGGCCGTTGTCGGCTATTTAAGACGGCCGGCGCCGCCAGCCCTAGCGCATCCGCCTCTTCCCTCCCTCCGCCACCACTCGAGCCGAGCCATGCTCCCACGCCGCCGCTACTACACGATCCAACACCGACTCTTCCTCCTTGAGCAGGTCCGGATCCGTAGGGAAGCGAGGCTACCTCAGGAGTCGAAGGAGGATTTCGAGGAGGTTCAGGAGGAGGTGCTGAGGGAGGAGGAAGAGGAGGCGGAGCAGGAGCCGACGGAGGAGGAGGAGGAGCAGGAGCCGGCAGAGGAAGAGGAGGAAGCGTCGGTGATGGAGGAGGACGTGGGCGTGTGGCGGGAGCAGCACGCCATCCTGAACTCCATCTGCTCGGAGTCGGCTGAGAAGGTCGGGCGTCGCTGTCAGCAACAGATAGAAACGGCCCAGGCTCCGGCTCCGGCGCTGACGGCTCCGGCCATTGCCGACAACGACGAAATTTGAGCAATATAGAATGCACGTAGTGCATGCTTTTGTATGGATTTAGAAGATGGGTATGAGAGGCTTGTATGTGGAGAAGGAAGTTTGAGGAGTGCCCAGTCAATGCCCGCGGGCGTTTGAGGGGCCGGATTTGCAAAGTCCGGTTGTAGATGCTCTTATGCTTATGCTTGGTGGGATAGTGTTTCGATTTTTATTTGTAA